AAACAATCTAGTTTGGATTAATACCAATTTATTTCAATAGTAATCAGCTTTGCTGCAGTATAGCTCTGTTCCCTCTCCTTCCTTATATCTTTATACAATATAGATCCATCAACACAGTTTTATAGTTATTGGCTTAGGAGGTTGTCTTTTAAATCAGATAGAATGGGGGGCGCCTGGGTAGCTCAGTCAGTTAAGCGTCTGACTTTGGCTCAGGTCATAATCTGTGTGACAGCTCAGAGCCCGGAGCCTGCTTCGGATTCTGTGTCTCCCTTTTTCTCTGCCTCTCCCCTGCTCACGCTCTGTCTCTCTCTCTCTCTCAAAAATAAACAAACATTTAAAAAAAAGATAAAAAATAAATACACCAGATAGAATAAAACAGCTACAGGCACAAATATATTTATATTGTCATTTACATTACCTATGTATTCACCTTGATGTATTTGTGCCAGTTAGGGTTCCGCCAGAGAAATAGGATGAGTAGTTGTATTTATTACAAGGAATTGGCTTACACGACTATATGGGCTGGCTTCGCGCTCCCCAAATCAATAGGACAGGCCGTCAGGAAGGGCAGACTAGAACTCTCTGGCACCAACTGAAGATGCTGTGCACACATTAAATTTCTTCTTTTTCCGAGTAACCTCAGTTCTGCTTTGAGGCCTTTCAACTGATTGAATCAGGCCCATCCAAATCATCTAGGAAAATTTCCTTTACTTAAACTCAACCGATGATGAACATTGGTCACATCTACATAATACCTTCAGACGTCCAGACATGTAAAGAACTCAGGAGTCATCATTCCTGCTTTCGTAACAAGGAAAAAGCTGAACAGATGGAAACAGTAACTTTTCTAATTTTTTTAAATGTTCACATATATACATATTTTTAATTTTTTTATGTTTTATTTTTTATATTTGAGAGAGAGAGAGAGAGAGTGTGTGTAAGTAGGGGAGGAGCAGAGAGGGAGAGGGAGACACAGAATCTGAAGCAGGCTCCAGGCTCTGAGCTGTCAGCACAGAGCCCGACACGGGGCTCGAACCCATGAGCAGTGAGATCATGAGCCGAAGTTGGACGCCCAACCAACTGAGCCACCCAGGTGCCCCAATGTTTATATATTTTTGAGAGAGAGAGAGAGAGAGAGAAAGACAGACACGGAGTGGGGCAGAGACAGAGGGAGACACGGAATCGGAAGCAGGCTCCAGGCTCTGAGCTGTCAGCACAGAGCCTGACGCGGGGCTCGAACCCACAAGCCGCAAGATCACAATCTGAGCCGATGTCGGACGCTCAACCGACTGAGCCCCTGAAACAGTAACTTTTCTCAGATTCATTAGAGAATTGAGGCCATGGAGCAGCCACCCCAAGAACCAAAGAGATGGGTGAATGCAGGTCACTTTGCTGAAGTAAAAGCTGCTGGAGCCAGTCAGGGTAGGAACATTCCTGGAGGTTGTGTGGTGTAACATGAGAGGTAAAAACTCTGGAGACTCACCAGGTTCTTGTGGGGAACATTGGAGAAAAATTCTCCAGTTTGGTCAGGGGGAGGGGAAAATAACGCTTCTGAAATATGCCTGGTGCGGGGGGCAGAGAACCGCTTTGAAATAAGTCCAGAGTGTTCTCCACGAGTCCTGCCCAGCAAGGGAAAGACTTCACAGGAGCTTCATCTGACGTGGGGGAAGGGAAATTACCCACCCCAGCCCTCTCTGGTCTTCGTATCTCACCTAAAGGGGGAAAAAACAGAAGGACTTGTGAAGGTCAAGTCCAGGGCCACAGCCTCACTAGTACAAGACAGAGACCAATCATTGGATTATAGAGCACTTCCTTTCCCCCTACACCTTCCCACGGCATCAACAAGCCTCGGTATAATAACAGAAGATTGGGGCGCCTGGGTGGCTCAGTCGGTTGAGCGTCCGACTTCAGCTCAGGTCACGATCTCGCGGTCCGTGAGTTCCAGCCCCGCATCGGGCTCTATGCAGACAGCTCAGAGCCCAGAGCCTGCTTTGGATTCTATTGTCTCCCTCTCTGTCTGCCCTTCCCCCGCTGGTGCGCTTGCTCTCTCTCTCTCAAAAATAAATAAACCATTTTTTTAAAAAGAGTTAAAGAAAAAAAGAGTTTGTAGGTAAACCCAAAGACAACAGGGGAGAGAAAAACAAGGACACTGGAGGGGACTGAAGCCTCTGCCACCCACAGCTACAGCGAATAGTAAACGTGGCCCAGCTCTTAGACGGATGAACATAAAGCTTTGTGTTAAAGCTCTATTTACATCCATTCCGATTTCTCAATACATAATGTCCAGCTTCCAGCAAAAAATTACAAGGCATGAAAAGAGGCAAGAAAAAAGCCCCAAAAACCCACAGTCTGAAGAGACAAAGCAAACATCAGAACCAGACTCAGTCTGTTAGAGGTTTTGGAATTATGAAACCAATTCTGTATTCCGTATCTGCAATTCATTTCTTTCAAGAATGTTGAATCATACCCTATGTAACCTTTGACGTGGACTTTTCCCCCCGCCACTCAGCATAATTCCCTTGAGAGCTCTCCAGGTTGCATGTGTGAACAGTCGATTCCTTTTTGCTGCGGAGTAGAGTTCCATGGCGTGAACGTGCGGTTTAAGCAGCACCCTTGAAAGGACACCGGGGCTGTCTCCAGGTTTGAGCTATTATGAATAAAGCTGCTGTGAATATTTGTGTACAGGTCATTGTATGGACATGTGTTTGCATTTCTCTAGGATAAATGTTCAAGAATAACATTGCCAGGTGTATGGTAAGTGGGCGTTTAGCTTTGCGGGAAATTGCCGAAAAATTTTGCAGAGTGGCTTTGTCATTCTACGTTGTCACAGCGACATGTGAGTGATCTAGCTTCACCATATCCTTCCCAGCTTTTGGTGTCATCACTGTTTTTTATTTGAGTCATTCTGATAGGTGTATAGGGATATTACCCCATTCTTGGAGTGATTTTCATTTATGGTTTCCAACTGGCTAATGATTTTGAACATATTACATGTACTTATTTGCTATCTGCTTATCCAAGGTCTTTGGTGAAATTTTTATGTCATTTGTTTTATTTCATTTCATTTTATATTAGAGAGTGCACATGAGTGGGGGAGAGGGGCAGAGGGAGAGGGACAGACAGAATTTCAAGCAGGCACCACACTCAGTGCAGAGCCACAGGGCTCCATCCCATGATCCTGAGACCATGACCTGAGCTGAAATCAAGAGTCAGACACTTAACTGACTGAGCTCCCCACACACCCCTTTATGTCATTTTCTAATTGGGTTGTTTTATTGTTGAGTTTTAAGAGTTCTTTGCCTTTTCGAGATACAAGTCTTTTGTCCAATACCTGGTTTACAAATATTTTCTCCCAGTCTGCAATTTTGTCTTTTGAAGGAAAAAAGGCCTTTTGCGGAGCAAACATTTTTTAAAATTCTGGTGAGGTCCAGTTTATCAAATTTTTCTTTTATGAATTGTGATTGTGGGTCCTAAAGATTTTCTCCTGTTGTTTTCTAAAAGTTTAATAGGTTTACGTTTTACATTTAGGCTTGTGATACGTTTTGGGTTAATTTTTATATAAGTTGTGAGGTTTAGGTAGAGCTTTATTTTATTTTTGCCTGTGGATATCTAATTCTCCCAGTGTCGTTTGTCGAAAGATTGTTCTTCCCATACTATATTGTTTTTACACCTCTTGTCAAAAATCAGTTGGGACAACTCAGAAGTTCTTCAACGGGTGAATAGTTTTGTTTTGTTTTGTTTTTTAAGTTCATTTAAAGAGAGAGAGTGTGTGTGCATTGGGGAGGGGCAGAGAGAGAAAGGGAGAGAGAGAAAATCCCAAGTTGGCCCTGGGGCTCAATCTCACAAACTGTTGAGATCGTGACCTGAGCCGAAATCATGGACTGCATCAATATTGATCTCCTGGTTGCCATTCTGTACTGTATTTATGCAAGAGGTTACCGGTAATTGGGGAAATTGGGTGAAGGGCATACGGGATTCTTGTGTAATTTTTGTTTTAGCTGCAATGTGAATCTATAGTTATTGCAAAATAAAAGGGTAAAAGCATAATACATATTATCTCTATTCCTCAGGCAAAAGCAAAAACAAAACTCAGCCAGACATATTTGTGTGAGTGTATTTCTAGATTTTTCTATATCGGTCCACTGATCTGTGTGTATGTTCACTACCTTGATTACTGTAGCCATTTAGTAAGTCTTAATAGCCAGCACAGTGATTTCTTACTTTATTATTTATTCTTCTAAAAATTGTTTTAGTTGTTCCGTGTCCTTTGTCTTTCCATATAGATCTTATAATGAACTTGTCTATATTCACAAGAATCTTTTCTGAGAGTTTCATAAGGATTGTGTTAAACCTATAGATCAGTTTGTAGAGAATTGACATCTTTACTCTGGTTGAGTCTTTGAATCCATGAATAGAGTCTGTCTCTCTGTTTATTAAATCTTCGATTTCTCTCAGCTGGTTTTATAGTTTTCAGCATACAAATCCTGTATACGTTTTATCAGATTTACCTCTAAGTATTTCAATTTTTCTGAGCAGTTGTCAGTAGTATTGTATTTTTAATTTCTGTATCTACATGTTCGTTGTTAGCATATAAAAGTGTGATTAGTTTTTGTAGTTTGTACCCTGTAACTTGGCTGACTCATCGATTGCAGGAGATTGTTTTCTCGTTGTTTTTTAAGGAATTTTTTAAATCTTGGGGCGCCTGGATGGCTCAGTCGGTTGAGCGTCCGACTTCGGCTCAGGTCATGATCTCGCAGTTTACGAATTCGAGCCCCACATCAGGCTCTGTGCTGACAGCTCAGAGCCTGGACCCTGCTTTGGATTCTGTGTCTCCCTCTCTCTGCTCCTCCCCCACTCATGCACATTCTCTCTCTCTCTCAGAAATAAAGAAACTTAAAAAAAAATTTTTTAATCTGGATTCCTTGGGATTTTCTACAGAGACCATTGTATCATCTGAAAATAAAGATGGTTTTGTTTCTTCTTTCTTCCTTGTGTTCCAGCTACCTTCCTGTATACGCCGACATACAGGAGCCCTACGTGTACCTGCAAAACAGCCACGTGGAAGTCAGCAACCTCTACCTGGGCGTGCCCACCAAGGCAACCATTAGACTCATCAATGGCACACTCCTGCCCACCCGCTTCCACTGGGGCAAGGTGAGTGAGCCTGCACGGTCAGCACCAGAGGCCTGGGCGGAGAGGGACGTTGCCCCCCAGGTGCTCCCCGGAAGAGAGGCCCTCCTCTCCCCCGTGGCCCTGTCCGTTGCCCAGAGTCTGTTGCTGCCATCAGAGGCAGCAGCCCTCTGGTCACCATCACCCTAGGTCTCCCGGGGCAGCTTGTTCAGCCCAGCAACTCCTGACAGGTGTGAGGTTCATCCAGGAAGGGGAGGGGAGAGGACCAGCGGATTACTCCCACCAGCGAGCACGCAGCCCCCCTGGTCCCACTGCGGGCCTCCGGCCTGCCAGCCTCCAGCGCCGCGTGGATCCTGGGTCCGTGCCGGGAACCCCGCGGGTGACAACAGGCCTGTCCTCGTGTCTGCCAGCTGTTGGGGCACCAAGCAGACTTCTGCACGGCCAAGGTCTCCCCGAGACGTGGCACGCTGGGTCCCAGTGAGGAACGCCAGCTCAGCCTGGAGTTCACTGCTCACACCCAGGTGAGTACGGTGGTGAGGGGGCCCGAGGCACTGGGAAGGCACCCCGCAACCGTATCTGTACTGGCGGGGAGGTCTGCCTCAAGTCCCACTCCTGCCTCCCATGAGGCTGGGGTCCCCGTCCCCATTAGGCCTGCCGTCTAGGGATACAAGGTCAGGAAGCCCGGAGCAGGCCTGATTGTGCCGAAACCCACTGGCCACGTCTGGCCTTTGGCTCCAGCTTACCCCTCCCCTCCTCTGCAGCCGAGGGTGGGCCCAGCTTTCCAATTTGCCCGGATGATCCCGAGGCTCGCTGGTGGCCACCTTGTCCCAGGAAGGGCACAGCTGCTCCCCAGCTCGGCCCACAGGAAGGCCATTGGGGCTGGCTGCCAGCTATCTGTTTGCGGTTCTGGTGGGAAAAGAGACTCTGTCTCATTTCCTCCCCGGCAAACGTGGACAGAGTAGACTTTCTTCCTCAGCTGCATCTGAGCTCCAGGGTGACGGGCAGATGGGCTCAGGCACAGAGCAGACCCGACGCAGGCAGGGCTTGATTTCTGTCATAGCAGCTTCATCGGAATGAGCGTGTGGCTTCTCCAGAGGCCCGCTTTGAGGGGGTCCCCGTCCGCGTGGGCACGGCCAGATATTTGGAGCAGACTGAGCCAGGAGCCCTGAGGAAGGGCCCAGGGCGTGGGATAGCGGGCTAGGCCGGTGACGGTGGCTCACCGGAGGGAGGGACTGGGGAGCCCTGCCAGAGAGATGGGACAGAACAGAGGTCAAGACTTTGTGCTCAGCGCCCCACAACAACCACCTGTGCGAGGGAAGACCGTCTCAGGCCGCCCTGGGACTTACCTGTAGTGATGTTCCCCCCGGTGGGCTTTCTTACAGGACGAGCTGAGCCATCTGGCCCTCCCTTGTACCGTGTCGGGCATGAAGGAGCCAGTGGTCCTGGGCATTTCTGGGAAACCCCAGGGACTGCAAGTGGCTATTGCCATCTCTGCGGAGGGCTCTGACGGCAGGTGAGCCCAGGGCTGGGGCCGGGGCCCGAGGGCTGAGCGACCGTACGAAGGACTAGCCTAGCAGTGGTGCCACGGTGGCACCGGCCTACTCCCGGCTGATTCCTGCAGCCGAGAAAGGGCCACGGTGTCACTGAGGCCCCTCACGACCTCTGTGGGAACAGGTCTCCCTACCCAAACCCCGCCCTCTGTGCGGTCTTTGCCCACACACTTGGTGGCGCGACGTCCAGGCGGGTAGGAGACGCAGGGGACGGGGCTGTTGGCAGCTACGAGGCCCAGCAACTGGGAGACGGGCCCGTCGCCCCCGGGCAGGGAGAGTTTATGGAGCCGAGGCCCCTGTTGGCACGTGTCTTGGGTGGCAGCTCACCGGGGAGGCAGCCCAAGGATGAAGCCTCGCGCGTAGGTGGCTCTCGCGCTCCCACCCAAGCGGGCTCACTGGGCAGGGCCAAGGGTGGCGTGTAACTTGGTGCCCCTGGGCACGGGGCAGCGTTCTCAGCACAGGGCTGTGGCCGGACCACCTGCAGGAGCTCTGCCTCGACTTTGGCTCCACGGTGCCCCTGAGGACCCGCGTGAACCGCCAGCTCATCCTGACCAACCGCTCCCCAATACAGACGCCCTTCACCCTCAAGTTTGAGTACTTCGGGGGCCCCTCAAACGGCCCGAATCAGAAACCCAGCCTGTAAGTGAGGGGATTCATGTCCCAGGGAGGATGTGGCCGGGTGGGTTGGCCCCGTTGGGCACACGTGTGGCCTAAGTGGCCAGAGGCCGGCTGGTATGAGGAGAGAGAAGGTGCGTCTCTCCCTGTGTTTAGACACGGAGACACATAGAGGAGGGGTTCCCACCGGCCCACCTCCCGGACTCTGGGGGGGGCCTCCGGGAGAGGCCGGGGGCTGTGGTGAGGTAGAGGGTTTCCGGTAGGTCAGGCAGCATGCAGGCCAGTGCATAAGGGAGAAGTTCACTGGCAGCGGAGGGAGCTGTGAGGGCAGAGACGTGGCAGTGAGGCCTTCTGCAAAGCTGTAACTGGAAATCAGCCCCCGGGGGGGGGTAGTAGTGCCCAGAAACTGGCACGTCTTGCACCCCGCCAGCGAACCCCTCACCGCTTAACCTCCTAAGTCAGGGGAGCCCAACATAAAAACCCCTGCCGTGGGTGGTGGGAGCCACTCGGGGTTTATGAGCCATTAACTTGCCCACTCCAGGAAAGTTAGTGCACACTCGATGCTGGACCGATGTCGGCAGGAAAGACTGGAAAGAGGGCCTTTTGCAGAAGGCCGGGCAAGAGAGGAGGGCCCTGGGCTGGGTCTGTATCCAGGATCACCAGGGCACAGAGCTTAGGGATAACAGGTCCCTCCTGAGTTTCTTGGAAGGCAATGCCTGGGCTGGAAGGTGGCCGGTAGCTGGGGTGCTTTGGGCGACAGGGGTGTGGCAGGCCCCGAGACCAGAGAGGGAGGTGAACAGACCTGACTTCTCCCTTGCGAGGAGCGGGCAGAGCCGCCTTCCTCCCCCCGTGCCCCTGGTGGGATGCTCGTCGCCCAGAGAGGTGGCTCAGCTCTGGGGAACAGGCCTGATGGCCCGATGCTGTTTCTGTGTCCCGTCTGGTAAAAGCCCCGACGTGCCCCCTGCCCTGCTGAAGACGTCGCGGATTCGAGAACGCTTGGCCAAGCGAGAGCAGCTGAGTAAGCACCCCGGGCGGGCCAGAGCAGCGTTTCCTGGGGCCTTCTCAGGGGTGGGCTGCCTGCCGCAGGGAGGGGACCCTGGCCACAGACCCCATTCCAGCGTCTTTTCTAGCAAGACCTCTGAGCTGGCCGTAGCCCTCCGTGCCCCCCTTTCGAATGAGGCCATCTTCTGGCTAGGGCAGATGGCCTGTGCACAGGGCCTGGTTTTGACTGGGACGGGTGGCGGCTCCGAAGGGAGGTTTCCCACTGGGGCCTGACCCCCAAGAGGTAAAGAAGGCCGTCTGCTGGATTCTGGGCTCCCAGGAGGGTCTGCTTAGCCAGACCAAGGAGAGCCTGTGGAGCGGCTTCTCTGGTACAGTGTTTTGCTAACTCCTGAGGGTTTGGACCTCATTCCTACCCTGGAGTCCTGAATCCCCATTCCTGGTTCTCGCCCAGATTTTATGGAAAGCCTGTTGTCTCATGGGAAAGGAGCTGCCTTCTTTCCCCACATTTCCCAGGGCATGCTGGCGGCCCACCAGCAGCTGCGCATCGACATCACGGGCTATGCAAACATGTGGGGCGAGTACTGGGACGACCTCATCTGCACGGTAAGGACAGATGTCCTGGGCCCGGCCTTACCTCCGAGCTCTGTCTCCTTCAACCCCTGGCCCTCAGCCTCTCAAATCTCTCCACATTGTAAGACTGTGCCCACTGAGCTTGGGATAGGCATTCACCTCCACGGCAACCACAGGGATTCGGGCAGGAGGGGTCCTCGTGAGCAAAACCTTCCATACCTTTTCCTGTGGGGTCCCACGAGGCTGGGCCCACACTGAGGAGGGCAGAGGAATCTGATGGGCCGCCTGCTTGGGCCAGGACATGAGGCCTGGAGGGGCAGTGAGTGTGGAGAAGCTGTAACGGCCTCCCAAAGCCATATTGTCACCTAGCCCTTGGTGCATTCACTCACTCTCCCACTGGCCCTCCACTCACTCGTTCAGGGTGCCACGGGTACCTGCTGTGCATGGTTCTTGTGTGGTCCTCTGGACTGGAGGATACAGGGATAATTGCGAACGGATGACCCAAAAAGCATTTCTTAGTTTAGTACGGAGGAGTGAGCTACGTACATTGTCTTATTTGGGGAGGGAAGGCCGTGAATAGAGGGAATGCGGAGCCAGGGAATGCCATGGCAGCAAGGGACAAGAGACAAAGGATTGGTGTGTGTTTGCAGGTGGGCGACCTGCCACCAACAGTCATCCCGGTGCATATGGCGGTCGTGGGCTGCCCCATCAGCTCCCTGAGGACCACTTACTATACCACAGACCAGTTGCAGAAGGAGCCTGTCATCAGGTGACCCTCCCCCCTGCCCCCGGCCTCATCCTCTAACCCTTGAAACCCCCTGGCCTCCAAACGTGGCTCCCCGTGCTGACTCGTGGCTCTCCAGCTGGCCCAAGGCCACTTGGTGCCACCCAGCAAGAAAGCCCCAGGACAGGGCTGCCCTGGAGGAGAGAGGCATGTTCCCTCCGGGGACATGGCTGCTGTTTGCACATCGCAGAGAACTTTGGAGGATAGAAGTAGCAAGTAGTCCGTGTGGCCTGAGGTCAGTGCCAAGCCTGGGGCCCCACCCCACGAGTTGGGATCTGCGCTGTCGGTAGATGGGGGGTGGGGGTGTGGAGCGGGTGCTACCAGGGCATCCAACAGCCCAGGTCCCAGCTCACCAGGCACTGCACGGGGAAGGACTCCAGCCCTGGGTCTTCATGACTTCAGGATAAACCACTGCGGGCCTCCTCCCGGCCTGAGCCCCAGTTCCAGCCTCCTCTCTGAAGCAGCCCTGTCTGCAAGGTGCATGCTGGTTATGGCTGCGCTGAACCCCGTCTCCTGCCTCCAGGTTCGGCACCCAGGTCTCCGGAGGAGACACAGTCACCAGGGTCCTTCGCTTGAATAACTCCAGCCCCTGTGGTAAGAGGCTCACGAGATAAACTGGGGCTCTATCTACTGGCTGTGCCGTGTGGTGGGCAAGGCTGGGAGGGATGATGGGGCCGAGGGAAGCTGATGGCCCGTGACCAGGCCCAGGAATCCGGGTGGCCTGTGGTGACTGAGGAAGACCCCGGAGGGCCCAGCAGGGGAGCAACCAGCCAGCCCGGAGGATGTCAGAGACAGCTGCTTCCATGCTTGAGCGCAGGACTTGCCCTTGCCCAGCCGTGGGTCCCTCAGTGCGTGGGGCCTTAGATGCTGTTCTCATCAGGTTCACTTTGCAAAAGGACAGACACTGGCAGGGGACACCTTTTCCCATCCCTTTAGCCAGCAGTACTGAGCCACAGCCGGGTGCTGTACGAGTTGCTGGGGATCCAGAGGGAACAGATGGCAGAGTCCGCCGAGAGGCTCCCGTGCCGATGGGGGTGCAGACGGGACTGTGGGCTGTCCCCAGGTTGAGGGCATCGAGGGGACTGCTGGAGAATCGCATAGGGTGCGGGGCAGGCTCCCCCGTGGAGGGGCGTCCGGGCTACGAGGAGGGAGGACGAGCCAGCTGGGCCTGAGGAAACGTGTGAGAATGGGGAGCGTCTGGGCCACAGGAGGAGCTGTGGCAATCTGGAGGTGGAGGGATTAAGGCATGGTGAGGCTAGGCCACCCCACAGGCTGAGCCAGTGTCTCGAGGGGCAGGGCCAGGGCAGGTCTGTCGTTAAGCTCCTTGGCAATTGTAAGGAATGTGCAGCAGGCGGGGGCGCTGGCAGCCTGTGACCCTGCTCCGTGTGTCCACTAGGTCCGGGCAGTTAGGGGAGGGGACATTGAATTTGCGCTTTAATCGGCTTTATTTCATTAAGGTCTCCTGGCATCTCCGACTCTTGATCACAGGGTTGGAAGCTCGAGCCCCACGTTGGGTGGAGAGATTACTTAAAACTAAAATCTTAAAAAAAAAAAAAA